ATTCTCAGGTGGAGAAAATTTTGATTCTTATGCCTTATACCTTGTAGTTTAATCTAGCAAATTTACATAAAATTTATTAAAAATTAAAAAAAAAGAATGACAATGTTTGGCCAAAACGCAAATCTTCTGAAAAACATACTAAATAATTCTGTCTCCATTCATTTAGTAACAGAGACTATTACATTTTAATGGCTCTTAAGGAGAATGTAAAGACTCAGTCAACAAAACAAATTGTCCTCAATCCTAATGTCAACTGATTATGTGAACTCAAAGAATTGTCCCAGAATGTTCCAAGGAGTAATTTTGCAAGTGAAAAAAATATCGTCCTAACACTGGGCCTCATCTGCACAATCCCCAATATGTGTCTGACCATTTACAATGAACCCATCTCACTGCTAGCCCTCAAGACCCAGCAATGAAGGCAAGCACTGCTACTCCCTTTTCACAGAGGGAGAAATAGGCTGAGTCCTTACAGGGTCCTTAGCTCAAGATCTCTCACAACTAAGCACCAAACCCCGTATCTGGCAGGCCCCAAAGTTTTCCTACTAAACTAGGTTGCTCTAAGTGTATTCTTTTCTAAAGCTGCTAACATTCCAAAACTGTTAAGTTTCTAGCTTCTTTTTTCTTCCTAAGATGACATACGTGGGGAACACAGAAGGATAGTTCTATGTGACTGAACCTTTCACAAGGTATTTTACAGTCTATAAAGAACTCTAATATCATTGAAACATCTCCATTCCTTCAAGAAGTAGCTTTTGCTCTTACTCAGATGGACATTGAATCAATCCTAGAGACACAGAGCTAATGGTTTCCACGTTCGAGATATCTAAAGAGACCCATCCTAAAGTAATAACCCCTATTTGTACTGGAAGAAACTAAAAGCTGATGAGACTGGACGGTCTATCTAACTTAGCCTGCTGGAGGTAGAGACAGAGCCTCATAAGGTCCTGATAAAGCCTTTGACTATATGTAGCACCTGCTCTGAACATTCCTTCCTAAACTTGCTTTCTATGGCTACTTTTTTTTGATATATTCAACAAGGCTTGTAGAAGTGAGAACTCATACACATCTGGACAGGCACAACAATAAATAATTTTAACGCACAAACAACTCAGTAGGCCACTTCTTCAAAACATAATAAAAGTCACTAGGGAACTGATTTTTCTTACAATTTCAGGCCACTTCCATCTGACGTTGAAAGACCATAATGGGAGGCTGCAAATACTTTCTAAGGAAGGTCAGAACAAATGAGGAAGCATTTGTAATGTTTTATTTCATCATCAGGGCAACAGAAGGTCTTTGTAACAGAGAATGTAATTCTGAGACAGGATTTCCATCCTCAGAAACACCTCTGTGAACATGATAGTTATTTAGTTCTTCCTTCCCTTTTTCTTTTTCCTTCCTTCCTTCCTTTCCTCCCTTTCCTCCCTCCCTCCCTTTTCTCTCCTCTCCCCCTCCCTTTCTTTCAATGAAGATCCAGTGGCTCATACCAGCAATCCTAATTACTCAGAAGGAGGATCATGGGTTGAAGCCAGCTAGGACAGAAAAGTCCCCAAGATTCTATCTCCAATTAACCATCAAAATGCTAGATTGGAAGCATGGCTCAAATGGTGAAGCATCAGCCATGAGCAAGAAAACTGAATGACATGAATGTTGAGTAAGAACACAAAGCCTTGCATTCAAGACCCAGTACCAGCACATACACATACACAAAAATGATACTCAACCAAGATGGGGATGTGGGTATCAAAATGAATCTGTAAGATGCAATCTTGGAAGCTAAGGATCTGTTTGGTGGGAAGAACAAGTTCCTATGAAGAAATAATTAAATCTATTTTGTGGCCTGCGGGGACAGCTTCCCAGAAGCTATGTCTTAAAGGATGAAATGCAGTTCTCCATGTGGCAAGGGGAGGAGTTGATTGCTCAAGGTAGACACAGTGAGCAATGTGTTCAAGATGGTGTTAGAATTCAAAAGTATCGGATAATGTATCTGCTCCATATGACTCTCTTGGAACCTGAGTATATTATTTCTGGTCTCTTTTTTGTATCACAGAACTTTATATAAAATTAATTTCAATCTATCTTTCACCCTTACAATCCAACAAACCCAATTTTGCAGTGGTCACCAAATTTAGTTCAATAAGCATTTCAACATCCAATTATTGGACCTAACAAAATTGCCCTTTCCCCATTTTGGCTCTACTCTCTTCTGGAGTTTTCTCTGGCCCTCCCTTCTATAGCTGAAATCTGAGAAGCTAAAAATCTACCCCAACACTCCTTTCTTTTCTCACTCAAGCAAATACCATCCATTCCTGTAGCTTTAAATACAACCTATATGTTCATGACTTCCAAAGTAATAGTTCCAAGCTGACCTTACCCCTGAGCTCCAGTCTTGTAAATTCAATTGCTTCTTTAATATCTCCATTTGAAAGTCTCAGGCATCCCCAAACAAAGTTTAAAAGAGGAAATTATCAGGCATGGTGGTGTGTGCTTATAAAGATTTTTAAAGATTTTGAGTTTGAGGCCAATCCAGGTAAAGTTAGCAAGACCCCAGATTAAAACAAAATACAGGCTGAGCACTGGTGGCTCACATCTGCAATCCTAGTGCTCAGGAGGCTGAGATCTGAGAATCACAGTTCAAAGCCAGTCTGAGCAGGAAAGTCCATGATATTCTTATCTCCAATAAACTAGTAGAAAACCAGAAGTGGCACTGTGGCTCAAGTGGCAGAGCACTCACTTTGAACTGAAGAGCTGAGGGACAGCACCCAGGCCCAGAGTTCAAGCCCTAGGTCCGACAAAAAAACAAATTACAAAAATACAAAAAGGACTGGGGTATGGCATAGTTGCCTAGCCTATGTGAGGCCCCAAGTCAAGACCCAGTGACCCTACCCCATCTCCACACAGAGAGGAAATTGTTTCTACCTTTCCCTCAGAAACTTGTTCACCCCATCCTCATTCCAGTCAGGTCCACCTTGTAAATGGCCATACTGGCAGCCATTCTTACCCTATATTCAGTTGCCAGGTTCTGCCAGCTCCACTTTTGCCTATTTTTGCATATGTCTCCACTACTGACAGACACGCTAGGCAGACTTCTATGGCCTTGCACGCAAACACTATTCTCAGGTCCTCTGCCCCAACACATCATTCTCCCCTGTGTCTCCAGCAAAGGCTGAAATTGCTACAGCAACCAGCTTTTGGTCCTGTGCCCACACATACCCCAACTCCATCCTTTCCTGGTACACATGAGTTATGTGGGGTACATGAATTTCTCAAAGAAATGGGAGCAGCTTTAAGAGCACTCTGTCTTTTTCTCTCCCTCTGTGATGAAGGCCATGAAGATACACAGAAGTGAGAAAGGAACTTATAGAGCTGTGTCATCAACTGCTCCTGACTGCACTAACTATGAAATATAAATGCCTTACAGCAGTGAACAGTTTTCCATGAAATAAGTCCCTTTGCACTTTTCCCATTTCACCTTGGGCCTGTGGTTCCTGCTTACTATATAGCCATTGGCCCCCCAGGCTCACATTGGCCCCCTTGTAATTTTTGGAAAAAGCAAAGCCCCTAAACTTTCCACCTTTTCATGCAAAGTTCCGAGCACTAAATTACTTTCTTGCCAAGTACCAGTGGCTCACACCTGTAATCCTAGTAACCCAAGAGGCTGAGATTTACAAAAAAGTCCCTGAGACTCTTTATCTTCAATTAACCAGCAAAAAGTTGGAAATGGAGCTGTGCCTCAAGCAGTAAGGTACCATTCTTGGGCAAAAAAAGCCACGTGAGAGTACAAGGTCCTGAGTTCAAGCCCCAGAAGTGCCATGCACACATGCGCAGGGATTCACACGTGTGCGTGCACATGCACACAATCTTTCTTAACTACTTAGAAGACCCACATTATCACTGTCCCATCTTTTCCTGCACAGCATGTCAGTCTGTTAACTATTCATTCTACATAAGGAAAGATCTTGATCCATCTCCAGTGTCTAGCGATATACTTTCTGTACAGCACCGTCTATAAACAGCAGGCACTAGTTAGTACCTGATAAATAAATGAATGAAAAAATACTCCAAAAGTAGGATAGAACCCTACGGATCATTCCCCAGGAGCATGTAGTGGCAGTGTTGGTAAGGACAGTAAAGGAGCTCACAACCACTTAGCTAGCACCACATGACCTGCTCAATCATGACCCGCCAGGAACAAGGTTTAACCCTGACCTTTCACTTTCAAGACACAGCACTATACATTTTTACTCCTCAAACCAATTTCTGCTTTCATTAGCTCATCGTTTGATATCTGAGACCTGGGAGGGCAAATGATGCAGCAAACCCGAACTGTGGCTACATCCGACATTTCACTGGAATGCTACTCTGGGAGTGTTTTTCTTCTCAGAATAAGAAGCCAGGAACTCATTTGGGGACTTGGGCTGGATTAGTTTATACTCAGGTCTTTCCACCAAATGTTGTTCTGTCGGTCACAAAACCTGTGAAGCTAAATGGCCTCAGGGGACCTGAACCACAGTACTGACTATATCAGCCAGGGCTAAGCATGTGAGTGTGTGAGCATGTGCATGTGCCTGTACATGTCTGTGTGTGTGTCTGTCTGTCCATCTTTGGGTAAAGTAATAACATAACACTAGGGCCTGCCTGCATCACTCCCCCAAACTCCCAAATAATTCTGTGGAGCTAACTATACTCACAGGATTATCCCTATAGAAGGGACCATAGAGATGGTGGCATTAAATCCACTGCATGATCTGCTTTGGAAAGAGATCCAGCCAGGCAGTTATTTACCTACCTGAAAGAAGTCTTGACTTCTGGTCAAGTACTCTTCCCAATATACATGACATCTTAATGGAAAACTAGTGATAATGTCAAAGCAACCAGGTGATACTTTCCAAGTAACAGTTTGTAAACCACCCCCCCCTACCCCCCGCAAGTTTTCCTACATGCAACATCACCAGGAAACTCTGAGCAACAAGAACACACAATAAAAACAAAGGAAATCAGGAAGAGCTACTTTATTATCTATTAAATATTCTTCCAAAAGTATTATTTTTATTCCATGTCTGAATGATAAGAAATAATATTAGAATTTGAAAGACTATAAAGAAAAGGCAAATGTGGATAATTATTTAAGCATAGGAAAAAGAAAAATTATAGTAAAAGTTAATGAGATTACAATTTGAAAATTGTGCATCTGAAAAACAAATGTATTTTTTCTATTATTTTTAGCAACAGCATTATATGACTATAATACCCTGATTTTTCAAGAAATAAACCCATTTTAAAAATATTTTTACTTTAAAAATAGGCCTGTGTTCAACTACAAAATTTCCCCCAAGCTTTGATCATAATTCCTTTTTTGGTGGGGGGAATGGTTTCTGATGGTATGACATATGCAAAACTTTTAGATTTTTTTTCCTGGTTAATCCCAATGCAGAATGTTAAGAACTATTAATAAGAAATCCATGAAGGTTATCAACTGTAAAACACTATAATTACTGCTCAGCTATTAGTATTTCTGTTTTTACCCTAGTTCCCTTAAAGAAAAGTCTTAAATTGAATCTTCAGCAGAATAAACCTTATATATAGCTCTAAGAAAAACAAGAGCTTTCGTTTACATAATCCTTAAGATTTTACTGTTCCTAATTTTATTCTGAAACTTAAACTCACCCCAAACCATAATTACCATACTAACTTTGTCACGTACAATTGTATGGAATTCCGCCAAGCAGTAGTACACCACAAGACCCTGTTTACCCAGAGATTAGGAAAAACATGATCCATCACCCCGATTTAACAACAAATCTAACTTATGCTAGTTGCCTGTGTATGGTTTCAAGCTAAGCTGTGACAATACAGGAGATGGAGAGATATCTAAATATCTCATCTTGGTTTTCCCAAGTTGTCAGAGGTGTTCTTCACAGTTTAGCTTTGCCTGGCTGAAGTTGAAGACTCTGTAACTTCATTGCCAGGCCCATGTTGCCAGTGATTTTCAATTTACCTTGGAAGAAGGCCTGTAAGAAAAAGCAAATCGTTACTTGGTGATTCTAACGTTTCTAGACTATTCTATCCAAAACTACATAGCTCCTTCATTTGTTCAGGAGCACACTTAGAACCACTATCAACATGAAAGAATCTGCAAAGGCCATGCTTTAAGTAGAGCAGTAGAAAGGAACACTAGTCCCAAACTGAATCTGTCTTCACCTGCCTTCCTCAAAAGTGGTCTCTCTCCTAGATATCAGACAAAGTGGGTTCATAATAGATTTCATTTAAAAAACATTCTACATGAATTGGAAATACAAACTGAAAATTTCAGTAGGCTGCTCATTTAGAAACTCAGGATTCAGCAGATGCCAGTACTCACGCCTGTAATCCTAGCTACTCAGCTGAGATCTGAGGGCTGTTTCAAAGCCAGCCCAAGCAGGAAAGTCTGTGAGACTCTTATCTCCAATTAACCACCAGAAAACCAGAAGTGGTGCTGTGGTTCAGAGTGGCAGAGTGCTAACCTTGATCAAAAGAGCTTCAGGATGGGCTGGGAAGGTGGCTCAGTGGTAGAGCGCTTGCCTTGCATGCATGAGGCCCTGGGTTCCATTCCTCAGCACCACAAAAAGAAAAAAGCCGGAAGTGGCGCTGTGGCTCAAGTGGTAGAGTGCTAGCCTTGAGCTGAAGAGCTGAGGGACGGCGCCCAGGCCCAGAGTTCAGGGCCTCCCCCCCCAAAAAAAAGAGCTTCAGGACAGTGTCCAGGCCCTGAGTTCAAGCCCCAAGATACCACAAGAAAAAAAATCCATGTAGGAGTCGGTAGAGGGTAGAGGAAACGCCACTAAAGATTCTCCTTTCCCAGAGCAGGGCTGATCCCCGCAGGATGGCCACTAGCTCCACAGTGCTCAGTGCTCAGGTTACTCTTTGGCTCAGTGAAAGTGTCGGACCATTCGGAAGGGTAGAGCTACAATCTGTTCCATTTAACAATGCCTAGGATTAGACCACATGATCTTTTCTAAATTTGCCATGTAACAAAATCCCAGGAAAACTAAGAGAAATAGCAAAATGGGAACATAAGCAAGACTCTGGTCTTCACTTAGTCCCTGAAATCAGGAAGAGCTACATGCAGTTTCTGGTAGCCTCCGTTTTTCATAGATATACAAGAAGAAAAGCCTCTCAGGACTTCATCGGTCTGTTTTGTTTTGTTTTTTAAATACCTCCTGGTAGGGGTGACTAATTCCTTTCCCTCCCCCTCCCCTGTCTGGACAAACTAAATATTTCCTTTCTGTATGGGCACAAACCCTTCTGTCTGATGACTTAAAGGTCCGGTGTCTTTTGGAACACAATATATTTAACATATGTCATTTAAACATATAGACTGAACCACTACATCTCTTTTTTTTAGTTAAAAGTGATTTCTTTCTTCTCCTTTTTTTTTTTTTTTTTTTTTGGTGTATGTTGTGGGTTCTGAACTCTTCTGGGCCTGGGCGCTGTCCCTCAGCTCTTCAGCTCAAGGCTAGTACTCTACTACTTGAGCCACAATGCCACTTCCTACTTTTTCTTCTTATGTGGTACTGAGGAATCAAACCCAGGGCCTTATTCATACAAAGCAAGCACTCTACTACTGAGCCACCTTCCCAGCTCTGAGTTTTAGTCTGGTCCTTGTGTGCTTTTCTCCTGGAGAGCACCTTGCTTTGTTCTAGCCAAACACTGAGAATTTCACTCAAGATTTCCAGACAGGTCCTCTACTGAGCATAAGGAAAGGACATTAGCACTTTATTAGAGGGATCTGTCATTTGAATCCTTAATTCCTCTGGCTGTTAACAAGTGCTGAAGGAAAACAAGCCAACAACTCACTCCTCCAACAGACCATCCACAGACACCCTGGGAGGTAAAGGGCAGCGAATGTGCCAAGGTGAGGCCATGTGTGCAGCGGGCCAGCTCCAGTCCTGGTGGCCTCTGCTGTGCCCAGATTTCTGGAGCAGGCAGCAAGGGACGAAGTGTAGATGCCAGTGTTGTGTGATCATCCAAAACGCCACAGGCCCAGGGCTCTCACACACCACAGACCTGTGCCTCACAGCTGCTTAGAAAAAGCATTTGAGAAGGAGCATGTGATTGTTTTATCCAATCTTACAAATTACCAGGGAATGTCAGGAATAGAACCTGAAATTAATTAGGCCGAGGCAACAAAAACAAGCTACAATGTAGAGCAAGGTCTTAGTTTCAGCTAAATGGAAGCTCAGAATATGAAGCTGACTGAAAACTGTATATCTAGTCTAGTCTCTTAAAAACAAAAACAAAAACAGAGGCACTTGAGAAATTGAGGACCAAGAGCTACAGAAGACATTTAAATATAATTTAACCCAACAGCTATTCATAAAAACCTAAAAGCAGCTTGGTGCCGGTGGCTCACGCCTGTCATCCTAGCTACTCAGAAGGCTGATGCCTGAGGATCATAGTTCAAAGGAGCCTGGGGCAGGAAAAGTCCATGAGACTCTCATCTCCAATTAACCACCCAAAAACCAGAAGTAGTAGCACTGTGGCTCAGAGTGGTAGAGCACTGGCCTAGAGCAAAAAAGTTCAGGGACAGCACCCAGATCCTGAGTTCAAGCCCCATGAATGACAAAAAAAAAAAAAAAAACACTTAAAAATATCAGACATTAGGCTAAGTTCTGGAACATAAAGAGCAGTAAGAGCAGTCTATCTTTGAAGATACCACCTAATGGTGAAAAGACAAGCACATCATGACTGAGGAGCGCCGCCATCATACTTACTGACTGAGGATTCATTTTCCCAGTCATCAAAGCCAGCAAGTCTGAGTCGGCCATAGTGATTGTGCAGTCAGCCTTTTTATCTAAAATGGATACACAGAAGGAAGAAGAGAAAAACATATTCAGGCTCACATGGACATTTCACTCAAGACAGTGACTGCATCAAGAATCATAGTAGAGAACGTCCACATACACATCTATGGCAGCCTGGTACTGTGGCAACCTCCATATTCAACAGGGAATTAAGTTTAATGCAGTATACTTACATGGTAGACTACAATACAGCAGGATAAGGGATGATGTGGATCTAGACTACAGACCTGGAAAAAAATTAGCTTTATATTGCTCGTGACAGTTAAGTAGGCTAGCTACAAAATAAATTGTAAGGATTCCACTTTTGCTTAAAAATAGTGTTCAATTATATAAGTATAAGAAGAATATGTCAATGTAGACACCAATATATTTTGAAGTTATTATGGCCAATAGATTATACTCAATCTCCTGCTATCTTTCCCTGCCTGTATCTTTGCCTCCAAGGTAAGCAGACCTGTGACTTACTCTAACCAAAAGAATGTGGTACCACTGACAGAAAGAGACTCCTGTCACGTCCTTCTGTTACATAAGCCTCCATCTCACTAGCAGACTCACACTTACTCTCTCCTGCTGACTCTGAACAGCTAGCTGCAGTGTGGGAGCTTCCCAAAAAGAGTGACATGCTTCCTCAGAGCCAGCATGACTCTGGCCTACAATCCGTAGAATACTAAAATTGTCATTCTCACACATTCAAGAAATGAATTCTGCCAATAACCTGGATAAGCATGGACACAGATCCTCCCAGTCAGATCTCTAGATGAGGACTATCACAGGTCAACACCTCAACCACAATAACCCAGCTAACTGATCCTCAGTCTCCTGACCAATGAAAAAGTTCAAGGCAATAAATATAAGGAAAGGTGTATATGTGTGTGCGTGTATGCGTGTGTGTGTGCACACGCGTGTGTATTGGTCTGAGGGCTTGAACTCAGAGAACCTGGGTGTGAGCTCCTTTTGCTCAAAGCTAGTACTCTACCACTTGAGCCACAGCAACACTTCCAGCTTTTTCTGAGTGGTAGGAGCCTCATGGACTTTCCTGCCCAGGCTGGCTTTGAATTGTGATCCTCAGATCTCAGTCTCCTAAGTAGCTAGGATTACAGGTTGAGCTACCGGTGCCTGGCCAGAAGACTATTTTAAAAACAACCCCCAGCCAGGCACTGGTGGCTAATGCCTGTAATCCTAGCTACTTCAGAAGCTAAGATCTGAGGATCACAATTTGAAGCCAGCCAGGGCAGAAAAATCCATGAGACTCTTATCTCCAATAAACTACTTTTTTAAAAAGCCAGTGAGTGCTAGCCTTGAGCAAAAGGAGTTCAGGAATAGTGCCTGGGGCCCACAGTTCAAGCCCTATGATCAGCCAAAAAAATCCTGTGTGGCTCTACTTATGACTAGCATTTCTACCTGGGGTACAACATAGCCATGTCCACTAAAAGACATGGTAAAGGTCCCCAAATGAGAACAATGCAGTTTTGAAAACCACACATGCAAACGTAAGAGCAAAAGAAGCAAAGGCCTCAAAGACCAAGTCAAACTGCATGCACACCTCCACTTATACGCATTTCCAAAGTAAAATCGATCTGTGGTGATAGGACTTGGTAGGAGGTAGAACACAAGGGGTTTCTGGAATGTGTACATTTCTGCATGCTAGTCTGGGAGGTAGGCCCTTCAGATTTAGGCCTAAATAAAAGGAAAAAAAGTCACTAAAAACAAAACAGAAAAAAAAGATGGTGGGCTAGATTTGGTCCACAGATTATAATTTGTCAATTCTAAGACTAGAGGGTAAAATTGTAAGAGAATTTTGGGGGGGGGAAGGGAGGTCGGTCGCGGGGCTTGAACGCTATCCCTCAGCTCTTCAGCTCAAGACAAATGCTCTACCACTTGAGCTACAATGCCACTTCTGGTTTTCTAGCGGTTTATTGGAGGTAAGAGTCTCACAGACTTTTCCTGCCCGGGCTGGCTTTGAACCGTGATCCTCAGATCTCAGCCTCCTGAATAGCTAGGGTTACAGGCATGAGCCACTGGTGCCCAGCTATTTTTTTATTTTTTTAATTTATTTTTGTTGGTAGTAAGGCTTGAACTCTGGGCCTGGGCACCGTCCCTGAGGTCTTTCACTCAGCCACAGTACCACTTTTAGTTCTCTAGTTAAATGGAGGTACAAGTCTTACAGACCGTCCTGCCTGAGCTGGCTTCACACTGCAATCCTCAGCTCTCAAACTCCTGAGTATCTAGGATTATAGGGATGAGCCACTGGTGCCCAGCAGAAAGTTTTTTGTTTTGTTTTATTTTATTTTCTAATTTTTTTTTATACCAAGTGTACTTATTTATACAATGCTCTTAAATTAGTAATTATAGTACCATTAATGTATAATAATAGAAAAAAAACCTGGGCAACAATAAGTAAAACCTCATTGTTAAATTAGCCATGACTACCTCAGGCAATCAGAGGTTTCTAGTGCAAAAGGAAAAATTCACTAGGAAAGTAAATGCTTTACTAGTCTGTGTTTTAGGCAACCAATCTCTAAAGCAATAGGGCTCTAACAGTGAGCTCCTCATATCACTGAGAACCAGCTCAAGTTAAAGCTTGCTTTCCAGGGCTGGGAATGTGGCTTAGTGGTAGAGTGCTTGCCTCGCATGTATGAAGCCCTGTGTTTGATTCCTCAGTACCACATAAACAGAAAAGGCCACAAATGGTGCTGTGGCTCAAGAGGTAGAATGCTAGCCTTGAGCAAAAGAAGGGACAGTTCAAACTCCAGGACTGGCCAAACAAACAAACAATAGTTGGGCCTGATCCTAACATCCCAAAAATGGACTTGTAAAACACTGAAAGGCAACTCTGGAAAGCCTGGTTTCCTCTATGTTTGTGTGCCAATCCTAGTAGGCCAGAAAGGTCAACTAACATCCAAGATCACACAGCAGATTCTTGTTGCTGAAGGCCATACCCCCAACTTTGTGCTTTGCTGCTCCTTCTTGTTACAGGAAAGAGGCAGACATTTCTCAGCTCTGTTTTAACTGGGCCTTCATCACTAGTTCAATAACATCTGATGAATCACAGATGCCTTCCCAGCTCCACAGGTCCTTTCTGGGAGCTTAGACAAGCCCATGGGTCCAAGAAAAATTAACATTTAATACATGGGCAGAGAGGAAGTAATGATTTACTCAGTACTTCCAGTGCTAGGTACTTTATGTAGTTATCTCATATAATCCCCACAACAGCTCTAAGGATAGAAACTATTCTCACCCTTTCTAGAAGAGACAATTTTGGACTCAAAGGAAGGTATTTGTTCTGCTTGGCCAAAATCTGAACCAAAGTTTGGGTGTCTCCAGGATACTTTTTTTTTTTCGGAGGTTGGGGGGCACTTATAGTTTTCTGGTGGTTCACTGGAGATAAGACTGTCACGGACTTTCCTGCCCAGGCTGGCTTTGAACCGTGATCCTCAGATCTCAGCCTCCTGAGTAGCTAGGATTATAGGTGTAAGCCCCTGGCGCCTGGCTTGTACCAGGGTTCTGCATCCTATTGCCCATAAAGGAACCAGGCTGAGAACTCCAGTGCTTGGGGGCAAACTAAAGGAATGGAGGAATAACAAGGAACCCAGAGAGGAGGGAAAGATTTTTTTTTTAAATGTAAGTCTTTAACATAACCATGGATATAATCATTCTGGGTACCTAGCAAACAAGCAAATAAAAAAGAGTTGAGATGGGCTCAGTGGTAGAGTAGGCATGCCTTGTATGCCTGAGGCCCTGGGTTCGATTCCTCAGCACCACATAAGAAAAAAGCCAGGAGTGGCGCTGTGGCTCAAGTGGTAGAGCCCTAGCCTTGAGCTGAAGAGCTGAGGGACAGTGCCCAGGCCCAGAGTTCAGGCCCCACAACCCGACCCAAAAAAAAAAAAAGAGTTGAGAAAATTTTACTTTGTACAGTAAGTAAACCTCCCAATGCTATGCCAGGGGCCAGAAGAACTAGCAATTCTCCTTAAGGTGCCAGTTCAAACTAGGACAGGTTATTGATGCTTTAATGCAACTGATCTCAAACAAATGGTCATTTGTTTGGTATATGTAAAAAGAGCTGGTAATTTCCAATAGTGGCTTTTACAGGTTAAGTCCACATTTCAGTGCCACTCCTAACTGCCAACAGGTGTCGAATTCGGCAGAAATTCCCTTGCGCCAAGGTGGGATCCCTTCAGTTCTGAGTTGGCACCTAATTGGGGTGGGGGGAAGGACTCATAGTAAGAATCCACCTGCAAAGAACAAGACTTTTTGAAATCATTTAACAGCTTTTTGTAAGCAAATTATCTTCCATGACCAACTAGCCACCCAAGCTACCACTATCAACAACAATAACATCTTAACATCTGTCTGAGAATAACAAAATAGAATTCTTTTTTTTTTTAATTTAATTTAATTTTATTTGAGAACATACTGAACAAAATAGAATTCTAAGTAATTATTAACCTTTTTTTTTTCCAGTCTTGGGGCTTGAACTCAGGGCCTGGGCAATGTCCCTGAGCTTCTTTTGCTCAAGGCTAGCACTCTACCACTTGAGCCACAGTGACACTTGCGGCTTTTTCTGTTTATATGGTACTGAGGAATCGAACCCAGGGCTTCATGCATGCTAGGCAAGCACTCTACCTCTAAGCCATATTTACATCCCCTAGCTATTAATCTTTTTTTTTTTTTTTTTTTTTTTTTTTTTATTGTAAAGCTACTATACAGAGGGTCACAGTTACATGAGTGAGGTTATGAGTACACTTCCTCTTGAACATTGTTACCCCCTCCATTGTTTTCCCCCTACCATCCCCTCCCTCCCTCCCTTCCCCGAGGTTCTTTTTTTTTTTTTTTTTTTTGATTGTGATTAAATGATTACATAATTTCAAAGTCACAAGTTCATTCTAACTTCCCTGGAGCAAATTGTCTACCACAGTCTGTAATATATAACAGTGTTCACATGTTATATACCATATTTGTGATCAGCAGCATGAGGATATTTAGTAGTGGT